CTGTGTCTCCGCCTCGCAGTTCCAGATGCTGCTGGTTGCAGGTGTGCCAGCAGGGCCCTTGGGCGTCCCGCCTGGGGTAATTAATCTTTGCCGTAATTGGAGGTAGTTTGTCTCACGGGAGCTGCATGTTTTCTTGTGTTAAAAGAATTATTAGGGCGTGTGCAGCAATAGGTGAAGAGTAATTCCGGAAAATATTAATACACGATTTTGCAATGAAAGATTAGGATTTGCATTCTAATCAGCAAAGTACTTTGGCGTTATGGTTTGTGTTTACAGTATCCACAGAGGCTAGAGTGAAGCTGGGTGACGTTTTAAAGTTCCTTAAAGAGGTCTTCCAGCTATCATTCTATGATTCTAATATCTTATATGTTGGTCTTGCATGGTAACGTAATCTCATGAAAGAGGAAAAAAATATAAGGATTTTGGTCCTCCCTTTATAGGTTCTCATCTGTCGGAATTACCGTGGAGATGTGGACATGTCCGAGGTGGAGCATTTTATGCCAATCCTTATGGAAAAGGAAGAAGAGGGGACGCTTTCTCCTATTCTAGCACATGGAGGAGTTCGTTTTATGTGGATTAAGCATAACAACTTATATCGTATCCTTTATACTGCAGAGAGCTTGCATATGCTGATATGCCAAGTGCTGCTATGTTATTTTCGTTGCTTATGACATAAGGAGGCGCTATTAAATAAAGTCACTTTATGTTTTACATCATGTCATGCAACAGCAGCACAGGATGCAGAAAAGTGTTTATGTTAATTTTACTTTAATAAATTATTTCCTGAATGTTTATCTTCATATCTTATTAGGCCAGAAGTACTGTTAATTAATTAACTCTTAATTTTTTTTGGCCAACAGTAGTTGCCTAAAGGCTTTTTAAAAGGCACTTAGTGAACAATTTTTTGGAATGGTAACTTTGGATGCATGTTCCTGAACATCCTTTATCAGTTGTTGCAACTTCTAAGAAAAATGCTTGTGTATCACTGGTGTTTTCATTTTTATATAAAGTAGTTCAGGTGAGTACGACATTTCTAAAAGTAACTTCAGTCTTCTTTTCCATTCAATCTAAATCTGATCTAAATAGAAGTGCATAGAGCTTTCGCATTTTTAAACAACTCTATGGTAATAGCATTCTTACTTTATATTTGATTATTTTATAGAACTATCTCCCTAACCACTAATAATGGAATTGATATTTTGTAGCTGAGTAGGCAAAGGATGTGACACAATGCTGTAAGTAGTTGCACAAGACCTGAGAACACAGAGGAGACTTGTGAACTTGATGCATGAGTAGTGGCATATCACATAGATTCTATGTTTGGTTCATCTGTACCTGTCATGAAAAATATTTTCTCCAGAATAAATATTTTTCATAATAGTTAGAGTTGCTTCTAGGATTCTCTAGCTCTCTTTTCATTGAGGTGGGTTTCCTGAGGCTAATATTCTGAACAGAATGCTGTTTGTGAATTACGGGGTTTGGTTTGGGGCTTTCTAAAAATTATTACTTTAGATGCAAGAATACATTCTGAATGTGCTGTCGTTCCCCAGTTAACGTCCTCCTTCTTCCCCTCCCTCCTGTCATTTTGTTTCAGGTTTTTTCTGAGTATTTCAAGGAGTTGGAAGAAGAGAGCATTAGGGATAATTTTGTTATTATTTATGAGTTGTTAGATGAGCTTATGGATTTTGGTTATCCACAAACCACTGATAGTAAAATTTTACAAGAGTAAGTATCCTTCTGCATCACTCACAGTGCCAAACTCCTTGGAAAGTTTTCAGCGTTCTTCCATATGCAAAAAAATATTTTGGCTTGGTCTAGTTATCAAAAAAAATTAATGCTCGTTAAAGTGTAGCTTTGTAGTATCAACATTCTATTTATTGCTGATGTGAATCTAACATTAAAGGTGCTTCAAAAGTTGCAAAGTATAATTTTCATTTTTTCATGCCAATTTTGTGGCTGTAAAGGTACATCACTCAGGAAGGTCACAAACTTGAAACTGGAGCTCCACGTCCGCCTGCCACTGTTACAAATGCTGTTTCATGGAGATCAGAAGGGATAAAATACAGGAAAAACGAAGTGTTCCTGGATGTTATAGAATCCGTTAACCTTTTGGTGGGTACCTTTTAACAAGAATTGTAATAGGAGGTCTTGAAAAGGAGCTTAGTGTCTGAAAACCTGCAAGGGTACACTAAAAAGTGAGACTGACTGTGGGTAGTGTACTGTGATGCTCCAGACAATGTTGGTCGTTAAGCCTGAGTACCCATAGGGACACCCAGTGGACAAATAATGCTTTGCTTGGCTGCATTGCTCACTTCTGATATGTTCTTCATGGAAAGGATTGTCAAGTGCTGAAACAGACTGCCCAGGGAAGGGCTTGAGTCACCATCCCTGGAGGTGTTTAAAAGATGTGTAGATGTGGCACTGAGGGACATGGGTTTAGTGGTGGACTTGGCAGTGCTGGGTTAACGGTTGAACTTGATGATCTTCAAGGTCTTTTCCAACCTGAATGGAAATGATTCCTTTCCCTTCCGTCTGTGCCCATCACCTCCCTGACCTAATTCTGCTCTACTGGATTAATTTCTTAGGAGAAAGACATCCAAGAAAACTCGGGATGTGGGAGTGTTGTTTGATGTCATGACATATTGCACCAGAGCAGACTTAACTTTCTTTTCTGTTTTGTTTAGGTCAGTGCCAATGGAAACGTGTTACGGAGTGAGATAGTTGGATCTATTAAAATGCGAGTCTTTCTCTCGGGAATGCCAGAGCTGCGCCTTGGTTTAAACGACAAAGTTCTCTTTGATAATACAGGCCGTGAGTATTTCGGTGATATCTCGGTAATCGTGAAAGATGTTATCTGAGGTCTTACGTTTTGGGATGGTTGAGGTTCAGCTGAAAGGATTTGTTCTGAGATGATAGAAGTACTCCCTTTATCAGTGTAGAAAACCACATTACGTCTCATGTGACAATATCAAGCAAAGGTGGAATACCATGGTAATACATGGTAACTATTGAGGCTTCCTCATCTCTTTTTCACTAGGACTTCTCTAGTCCTACAGCCCTCTAGTAAGCTAAAGAAGGTATTGGCTAAAAGGGAGGAATGTGAGCAGACAACTGCTTTGGTGTGTAACTGGCTGTGATGAGACTTCGGACATAAATTGCGTAGCACCTTGAAATGTGTATTTTCTGCTAGGTGGCAAAAGTAAGTCAGTAGAACTGGAAGATGTAAAGTTTCACCAGTGTGTTCGTCTCTCTCGCTTTGAAAACGACAGGACAATTTCTTTCATTCCACCTGATGGAGAGTTTGAACTCATGTCGTATCGTCTCAATACCCACGTAAGTGTGGATGTATGGATCTCGACTATAGGACTTTATTGTATGAGAATGTTCTACATTGTAGGCAAAATTGCTAATAGCTTTCTCCTTATTTTTTTTTTTCCTTAAAATACAGGCAGCACAGTAGTTTTCAGTTCAACCCTTAATAGCAAAGCTTTGAGCTCACTCTTTTTGGAGGAAGTAAGAATGAGACTTGGCAACAAGTCTCTATGTTTTCAACTGCTATTGAAACTGGTTTTGAAATACTGTTCCTGTGGTGATTTTATTTTTTTTTAAGCTGACTACATGATGAAATGTCAAGCACAATCAATAGCTACACTGACAACAGCAGTATTTGTTGTTTAATTTTGTGAGTTTGCTAGCCGCAGTAATAAGGATAAGCTTTCCTTTTAGACAAGGAAAAATTCAATATAGAGAAAGTCTATAATATGCAACTATGACAGGAGACAACAGATGAGAAGTTTAGTAGTATTTATTTTAAGAGCGGTAGTTTGAATTAGAGTTCTTCTGGGGCCTTGTCATAGGTCAATCCCTAGTGTGTTGCATTCCAAAATATTTGATAATTTAAGCGTTTGTTATTAGGGATCAGTCTGGGACATACCTTTTTAAGCCTATAATTCTTGTAACACTTGGTCATTGGTATATCAGTGCTTGCTCATTTGTAAATTTATTTTTTTTTTAATAAAATCACATGTCGTTTGTAATTTTGAACACCACAGGCTTTCTGTTTTCTGTGGGGTTCATGTATTGAGCGTAGCTTTATGGGGAAGCATCATTTTAATGACTATGTCAACGGAAAACCGACAGCTGTTAAGTGTTTTTCCCCCTTAGGTAAAACCACTGATCTGGATTGAGTCTGTGATTGAAAAACATTCCCACAGCCGCATCGAGTACATGATCAAGGTCAGAAGTTCTAAAATAATCATGGCTGATTTTAGTCTTCTCTTTCGTTTGTTTTCAAAGCTTGACCAGCAGTGTGTACGTTTTTGTTCAAGTATTTAGTATTTCTGTGGGATTTGCATCTTTTTGAAAACTTCACATGTAAGTTACGATCTCTGTGTTACAGTTCTCTTTCTCAGCGTGTAGATTGGGGTGGAGGGGAATTGTGTGTCTCGCAGCTCTCTGACCTCACTAGCATTATGGGAATATTTAGCGGCCCGCTTTTCTGATTTTTCTTCATTAGGCAAAAAGTCAATTTAAGCGTAGATCAACTGCCAACAATGTGGAGATTCACATTCCGGTTCCAAATGATGCGGACTCGCCAAAGTTTAAAACCACTGTTGGAAGTGTCAAATGGGTTCCAGAGAACAGTGAAATTGTCTGGTCCATTAAATCTTTTCCAGTAAGTGTTGTTTTTAGTCTTATCACTTAATAGTGTAATAATTAAAGTTAATATTTTATGAACGTTCAGACTCTGCCTAAAGCAAATTCTAATGGTATCAGACGCATCATACTGGCCTCTTCCTCTTTTTCCTTGGATGAGCGCTTGGAATTGCTGATAGATGTTTAAGATAATGTTTATATTTTTTTGTTAAACCAGGATAATTTCTCAGAACTAGGCTAGAGAGCAGATTTTTGAGCGATGTCTGTGGATGGTGTAATCCCTTGGCCTAGACCTAGCAGCAGCTGGTTTAGCTTCTCAGACTGTGCTTCTTGGGTGGTTCCATGAGTGTGAGCTCTTTCAAATGCTCGTGGTGTGGTAGTACAGCTGTCTGTCACCATTTAATCAGTGGCACCAAAAAACTGAACTTTCCTTGTTCTTGTTTTCCTCTTGTCTTTGAGTACAAAGCTGGTCTTAATTTTATCTGCATCTTAAAAAAAAAAAAAAATTGTTTTTAACTTAAACACAAGTGCTCACTTTTAAGCCTCAGAGAAGAGCTGAAATGAATAGTGGAGTTCAGCAATTTGACATTAAGAAAGCCACTTGTATTGTTGCAATTTTTGTTTTAAAAAAAAAAATAAATCTGTCCCTTTTTGGTAGGGTGGAAAAGAATACCTGATGCGAGCTCACTTTGGACTTCCAAGTGTTGAAGCTGAAGATAAGGAAGGAAAACCTCCCATTAGTGTAAAGTTTGAGATTCCATATTTCACCACTTCGGGAATCCAGGTTAGTAGCTGAAAACAGAAATAGTGATCAGTTAACGTGCTAAGCTCTTAACACACAAGTATCTCTCATCTTCTTGATGATTCCTGTTCAATGTTATCCATAAAACATATTTTTGACCAAAAAAAGCTTTTCTCTTTTGTGCTGAATGCTGCTTGATGGACATGGGGGACTTTATTTCTTCACATATCTTTCTTTCCAGGTTCGCTACTTGAAGATAATTGAGAAGAGCGGCTATCAGGCTCTCCCGTGGGTTCGGTATATTACCCAGAATGGAGGTAAATGGAAAGCAACAGACCCTAGACATCTCCAACTTGCATGTTTTCTTTCTCCAGCATACACCTACAAATTAAAACACACAAAACCAGTTTGCTCGTGTTCTTGAGTATTAAACTATACAGTTTAGACGCATGTTAGATTAAGGTATGCTGCTTTTCCCAGTCTCCTTTTTTAGTGTCCTAATGCAAGACCCAACGGGATAGCTCCGTAATGCTGTTGAAATGTTTTGTAATAAAGCTGGGATTCAGTGAGATTTTTCAAATACAAAATTAAAAAGAAGTTGCTCACACATAATCATAACAGCCTTAAGATGTATAAGACACTGTCTACTAAAAGATACTAGATCGTTTGCAAGTAAAAGCAGTGGGGGTTTTCTGGTTTTTGCATTTTGTTGTGTTTGTTAATTAACTTTTTTCCCGGTTTGGAAGCAGGAATTTTGGAATGCCTGCACTCACTTTGAGAGCTTTTGAGCCCATTTTCATGGCCATTCTACACAAAGATCTGTTTTTATTTTATATTGCTTCATCCCAATTTGTTGATCTGCTTTACTACCTTTAGTGAGACAACTTACTAAAACTGGGGTTTTGGGCTTTTTTTCTGCCTTTACAGACTACCAGCTTCGAACGCAGTAAAGCCCCTCGCAAGCACCACAGACGACAAAACTTCAGGCCTAGAATTTGTTTGCAGAAGCTTCTGTGGTACTGAGAGCTGTGAATGTTGTTGCCAAGGGTCTTGTTTCTGCAATCATGGATTGGCAGGAGAAAGATTGGAAATTTACTGTTTTCAATAATGTGTTTGAGCATTGGAACCATTAGTATTGATTGTGTGAATATTTATTTCATTCTTAGAACATGCTGATCTTGCTGCTAAATGCTAATTACGTTAGGAGTAGCAGTTACCTTGAGGAGCCAGGAATACGGAATGAACCTTGAGAATGTCTTGTCAATGCCTTGTCCGTTACATTCGCAGAGTTTCTAGTGTTCGTATTTTAGTATCTCTAAAGACATTGGCAGCGTTATGCTACAAATTAGGGAGACGATTGTGCAATTAAATGACTGCTGAACACTTAGTTATATTTAGCCCAAGGTATTTATTTTTTTCTGGGCATATGGGTGCCTTAACTCATTCAAAGCTCTGTTAACTTATGAAAATTTACCAAATAGGAATTGAAACTATCTGAAGTCGAAAAATACTGTTTGCTCTTTTTGCATGGTTTCAAACCAATTAATCTGACAGAACAACTTCAAGTGAAGTGTCTGGAAACAAAAATATGGGTGTGTTAAAAACTAAGTTAACTGAGAACGAGATTGCAGAAGTAAATGTCTCTGGGAACATCTCTGTGGAAGCATGATGATTGCTAGTTGAAGTTAGTCGAAATGCAGACTGAAGAGTTTCAACCCTCTGATACCCCTCGGGCATGGAAACCCTATGCCAATTGACTAGTATTGGCTTTTTTTAAAAATTTCTGTTTATAAAGCAAGTTCAAAACTGTAATATGTATGCGTAAGACCTTAGATCAATTATTAAAAAAAAAAAGAGAGACCAAAATGATTTTGGAGGTGATAAAATTTGGTAGGAAGATCGGAGTTTTAGTATTATTATTTTGCCATATAATAGTAGTATACTCCAACCTCTTCCTGAAAACTGATTGTTGTTTATGAAAAGGCTGATAAAAATACCGTTGCCATCTTTCTTCCAGCTTGCCTTTGTGTTAATTTAGGGCAAATATTTCCCTTTTTTGCTATAGTTTACTAGACTTGTTTAACTTTTGGTTGCCCTACGGGGGATGCTTGCTTTCTCCATCTTTTCTGTTTGTAAACAACTATTATTAGAACTTCCTGGCAGAATGGATAACAGTTCAGAATGTTATACTTAAAGGTATTATTTTTTTTACATGCCGTTTCATTTTTTTTCTGAGAAGCTAAGATTGGCATGGGTGTACATAGTTTTTTGTTGTTTTTTTTTTTCCCCAAAAAAATTTTGACGGTTATCAGTATTTTCTTTAAACAATTTTTAGAATGTTTGGGGTTGAATTTAGTACTCCCGACATGCTAAATTTAAACCACCAAAATCTAAATGTATGTCCACGAACGTGACGTAATACACTGTGTGCAAGGTTCTCCACACCACTCTGTTGACGGCCCTTGACTCTCCCTCAAGTTTGAGAAGTCCTTGTCCCCACTAAATCCATATAGACTCTATAGAGAGATATATCTGTGTGTACAGTATATACCATTGACAAAAAAATCACCTAAATTCCCCTGAGATGCAGCTGCTGCCTCAGAAGGGACTGATCCCTGAAGGCGTCGAGGCTGGTCAGGCAACGGTAGGTGTGGACATGTATATTCTGGAGTAAGGTTACTGTGTTTGTCACCCAACAAGCTTGATGTTGAAACAAATTAAATCATCTTGTTCAAGATTTTGGTTCCACTACTCATTTTCATTTGAACACTTAAGCTTATGACTGGACTAAACATTTTTATATTAAAACTGTAACTGGTTGACAAATCACTTTGTGATGGCTCTGTCCTTCAAAGTGTTGACTTTAATTATTTGCCTGCAAAATGTGACTCTTGATAGTTTTTATTTTACTGCTGAAGGTTGTATCTTGCGGACCAGAACAGTGTTTTTCTCATATTTTGTCGCAATTTGACTCTGTTTTGATGATGGGGCATCAGCTGTGCTTGTTCAGGAAGTAATAAAGGGCAGAAAGTCCTCTTGGAATCAGTTGTCCCTCACTGGCTCTTTGTTCAGTTTGATCTATGACAAGTTGTGGCCGCTAATCTTGGAGCTCCCTCAGTTGTTCTAGTGTGAGGTCTGGATAAGTGCAGCTGAACTCGTGAAATGTGAAAGGACTCATATTCCTGGGTTGTTTACCAACTGCTGACAAAATCTTTGCTCTTCTTGTGTTATCTCCAAAATTTGCCCATCCGGCATAAAATCGGTGCTCACTAGCACCCTCTATTTCAGAAAGCAGAAAAAATGCCCCACTTCATTCGTTCAGTGTGGCAGTGTGGGGTCGGTGCGTGCTCCCCCAGGCTGGGGCAGAAGGGGAGAGGTGGGATGTTAGTGTAGCACCAGCGCTTGTTTAAGGAGTAACTTTTTTTTTTTGTAAGTTTTGTTCTTAGAGCAACTGCTAAATCTTTCTTTTCTCTGCCTAATGTGGAAAAATGTAAATTTGATGGTCTGCCACTATGTTACAGGTAAGTACCTAATATAAAATACTTTTAAAAGACTGTTTGCATAATTCAAATAAGTGGTGAAGTCTCTCATCTGTGTTTTCAGCTCGGCGTGGTTTCCTGGCTGCGTCACCTGGAATTTGGAACATTAAAAGACTAAATTTCTTAGGTGGTTCTGGAAACACATCCCTGTCCCTGACGCTGAGCCCGCAACGTTTAAATGTTCTCCACAGGCTTGTTTTTGCAGTAAGCTGGGATCAGGCTCGTTTTCCTCGGCAAGTTTAAGTGTCTTTCCCCACTCCATCCTGAGCAGGCACTGCTGGCTCAGAGTATCTCAGCAGCAGGGAGCGCTCCCCGCTCTCCCCACGCACACAAAACTCTAACCTCATCTACACATTATTTAATTGCTGACTGATCAGATTGCTGTTCCTGCAGGTGCGTCAGCGGCGCTCCCCCGTTGGAGTAAATAGGTGGTTTTCCTTCCTGCAGCGGGGGGTGTGTGTGTATCTGGTACTTTGGCTTTCTTGGAATGAAAGATTGCAGCAAACTACTGCTTTTTCTTTTTTCTTTTTTTTTTTTTTTTCCCCCTCCATTCCATGGCCAGTTCTGCCAGTAGGTGGCATTCTGAGCATGCTGCATGCTGCCCATCGATTCTCGGAGTCGTACACTCAAATACTGTGTACAAAATGTGTCTTTGGATTCGGAAGGTACTATTTCAGTTCCTCTGAGTTCATTAAAAAACTCAAACCCTATATGTATATGTTTGGGGTTTTTTTAGGCTTATGCAGCATGATTTTTAGAGTTCAGTAACTTCTCAATTTAATTTGCCAGTTCTCTCTTCACGTTCTTCTTTCTCCCTGTTGCTGGGCTGCTGACGGCAGTCCTGCGAAGCAGAGCAGAGGGCATCAGTGCAAAGGGAAGGGATGAGCCACTCCGCAGTGCCGCGGCTGCCCGGAGTCCTGCACTGCGGTGGTGGACACTGCTGGGTCACAAATGAAGACTCAACTGGTGGTCTGAATGCTCCTGTTTGATACAATATATGAGAGAGTATCTTCTCCCCCCCCCATTTGGTTACCTCAGAGAAAAAACTTGGTTTGTCTTGTTAAAAGAAGTCAGAACCTACCTCCCAGTCAAGTAAAACGGGTGCATTAAAACAGCTTCATTCCACTTCTGTCTTCCAGCTGGGGAGATTTTCGTTGGTTTTCATTTACATGTGTCTTTGCTGCTTTACTGCCATCCTTTTAAGCCTGTATACTGTTTGGACTGCTTATATTTGCTTCCTGACTCTAATCTGAGCTGATTTCTTCTCTAAAACATTCTTACACGTAAAGAGAGACAATGAGACTTTATCCATCCTAGGTTTGGTTTGGGTTAAGAGCTTGCACCTGTTTATTTCTGACTTGGTATTTTGTGACAAGAAATGGGCTAAACCTTGGCACCTCTGTCTTTATCTTGTGCCAAATGCAGTATGTTGCAATTCGTTCAGCGCTCCCCCCCCCCTGTGGTTGACACCCACTGCTGTTTGTAATTTCAGCAGCTCTGGCACCGCGAGGGTTGATGGCCTTGCGGAAAATAGCGTGAGAGAGCAAAGTTAAGGGACAATACAAATAATCTTAATTGCTGTGGTAATTAATTATACAACTTTTATGCTACAGGAGAAGCTGTACTGAAATCATGAACGATCGTAAACCTTTTCCACTGAATTTTGTGCAATCCGGAGTGTCATACAAGTCCTGCCCTCCCTACGCACAGATAAAACTTGTTTCTCTTGTAGTTACGGCACGTTGTCTTGACTCAGCGTTTATGAAAGCGCAGTTAGTCACATCTCTCGCTCTAGTCAGATGCAGGAGGTTCCCTTTTGTAGGTATTTCACTTTGTTATTAGCGCATTAGTTAAAGACTTCGGGTCCTTCTGTATTTCCTGCCTTCCCGGGGCTGGTGAACTGGGCTGGAACTTTGTTCCCTTTGCCTTTGGCAGCGCAGGGTCTGCATGTGGACCGTGTCCGGCTCTGGCCCTGCACTCTTTACGACGTGCCCATTGCTCTGGGCAGCAGCGCGTTCCGCTCTGTGCCTTGTGCACCAGCTCCTAAACAGAAAAACATAGTGTGTTTTTAAAGATAGGAGTTGTAGCTAAACTTGTTTCTGTGTTTGTTCTGAAAATGAAGGATTCTTGTTTTATTAGGACGTGTTCTGGGCTAAGTTCCCAGAAGCTTAGTGCAAACAGCCCTCTGAAATTGAGATGGTCAATAGCCCTGCAAAATCAGTGGCATCACACGGGAAGATTAAAGCCACTTCTCCCACTGCAGCTGTTCTGCTGCTCTGTGGCTGTTGGCAGACTGGTTGAACTGGAGGGTTTGGATAATTTGGGGTGTTTAATATCAGAAATTATGCCCAGCTTAACCTTCTGACCTCTCTCCTTCCCCTTCCTCGAAGCTGCCAGCATTCCTTTATGCTCATTCTGGTCTTGTCGACTGCCCTGGCTGTTGCGGCATTGCACTGATGCAACTTTGTTGTGCTGTAGGTGGAATTGCTGTGGGGTATCCTCAAAAAAAAATTATGGACTAGAACGTGGAGCCTCCAAGTTCATTTGCAGGCTGATGGTCAAATAAATAAGCAGAAACAGGCCTTAATCAAATGATCAGCAACGTGAAGAACAAGACGCTCCCAAAGTCAGCGTGCTGGGCTACGGCCCGTTCTGGAGAAAGTTTTGTAGGCTTAGTTCAAATCTTGGCTGTGGATTTGTACCTTGGATCAAAGTTTTGTTGCAGGCCCTTCTCCAATATAAAGCAAAGAAATGTAAAACAACAAATATCTAGTGAAATCCAAACACAATCTGCTCTATGTTATGCTACAAAAATGAATGAACTCTGCCTCCCACCCTCTCCCACTGTGACTTGCTGT